CTAATAATGTTCCTTCAAGATGTAAAATACTGTTACAGTGTTGCAGTGCATTATGGGATTCCATTGTGCTGGTGGACACTTCATTCAGTGATATATTAGAAGTATGTGCATCTAAATCCCAGACAGAAAACTGTTAATGTTGTTCAACCAGCAGCTCCTTTAAACTCGACACTAATTTAAAACAGAGACACGTTCATCAACTACACACGTGAAACACATCCAACTCTACAACTGCCTACATCTGCAGAAACATGCCTGATGCAGCCACCAGACAGAGAACAGCATAAATGGCAACACCAGTTATCCCAGCACTTCTTATCTGGCGTGAGTGAGTTTCCTTTATCGTCCTGTCTAACTGCTGATTCTGCTGTGAAGCTTTGTTAAGCCTACGATGTAATCAGCAGCAATAAAGCTGATATGTGCAGTTTAACATTGTGTAAAGCTGGGTAGGTCTACATGTGTGAGGTGCTTCTCTCTCTCCAGGACCCAGCTATCCCCACTCGTTATCCTCACTGTCATAACAAACAGCCCACAGTGACCCCCACAGCACAGAGCTCAGAAAACTGCTGAAATACCAAAAGGCCCACAGGGGGAAAAATGTATATATGGTCATTCAATGTATCAGACAGTTGTTTTGTAAAGATGGTGCTGCAGACTGACAGAAACACGGTCAAGCTGAACTTCCATGTACAGATGTGTGTAATAACTGCACAGCGTTACCTCAGCCAGCCTTCCATGGCCTCAGCAGCACACAGGCATACGAGCCGCCATGGCAGAAACCCCTGTTTATTAATTCGCACAGTGAGTCCAAGCCAGTGGTAGGCTGCCCATTAGCAAGTTGTTTTTGGTCTAGTATATAGATCCAAGACCCCACCCCAATATAATGAGGGAGCCACAAGTCAGCGTACTTTTAGTATTGCTCCTAAACCCAGCATGGGTTGTACCAGGAAGGGCATCCAGCATCTCTGACAAATCAAACATACTGATAATCGCTAACATTTTGTGGGGATGAACAAAAAGTATTTTACCCGCATGACATAATCTGCAGTATGATCGTCGCTTTAATAATGTAACAGATAGCTTTAAGAAGGCCTTAAGATGTTATGCATACAGTTATCATGTTAACTTTGTATTTCAGGTGCAGGTATAACTATTTTATACATATTGCATATCTGTGCTTATTTGAGTTGATGTTCAGGTTCTTTAAAGGTTTGAAGCTTCACCAGGCGCGACTGTCCAGGTGATACATGTTGAATAAAACTAGAACATAGAAGGAATTGCAATACAGGCTTACAGTACATTTATATCAGGTTATTTTAATATCTTTTATATGCTTCATATTTTCATATTAAGCTTTTAGTAGAGGTTCTTGGTTAAAACATTTAAAACATTTATTTAGTAAGAAGACATACACATAGTCTCAGTGAGCCTCTGTCCTGGTGAAAGGTCAGGTGTACAACAGGCGAATTGAGAAAGAGCGTTTAAGGGCAAGAGACAGTTAGTAGGTGAAGAGGCGACACAAGGAGCATGTGAGGTCAACACACACACACACATGAGGTAGAATTATTTATAGGAGAGAGGCTAGGTCATGTCTGGTTCTAACTGCAAAATTATCTCGGTAGAAGAGGAACCGGTCCTCATTGTCTCGGCAAGAAGAGGAACAAGACGAGAATTGAAAGGTGGACAGGAAGGGCCAGCCATGAAAATAGAAAATGATGTTCTTTCAAATTGGGTGAAAAGTCATTGTGGTGTTGATCTGATCTATGTATAAAATGTATCTGTGACGCATGAGGGGGCGTCAGTAAATCAAACCCTGATGCTATAAACATCTGTTTATGCTTTGATTAAGTGGAAGATCAATTGCTGTCTGCGTACAGAGTTGTCTTCCCACGCGTGTGTATTCATTAAAATCATCGTTTGACTTCACCCGGCCGGATCAGTGTGGTTATTCTTCGATCACCTCTTGTATCCCTCCTCAAACTTTGAACCTTAACAATTTCCACACTGGATCAGTCAAGGCCTGGGTCAACGATGACCACCACGGTGGAAACTGTGCTACTTTTAGCCAAAGACAAAGGACGAGAGAGGGGAGGAGGAAAAGGAAATGCGGAGGGTTGGTGTGACAGCAGAGGATCCTAAGGCCAGGGAAGGGGTGGGCAACTCCAGGCCTCGAGGGCCGGTGTCCCTGCAGGTTTTAGATGTGTCCTTGAACCAACACAGCTGATTCAAATGGCTAAATTAGCTCCTCAACGGCTGTGTCCCAATCCAGGCTCTGCAGCCTTAAAGGCCGCATTTTAAGGCCGATTACATCACAGCGACGCGCCGAAGGCTGTCCCAATTTGAAGGCTGCTCGAAATGCGGCCCTCAAATGCGTCCTTCATTTCCCTGAATTTTAAGGATGTGGCGGTGTAGACTTCGTGGCCCAACATATCCCAGAATGCATAGCGCGGCGGTGGGTGTGGATAATTTTGCCGAAAAAAAACGGTGGATGAGGTGCGGCCGAAGAGTAAACTTTAAGCACTGAATATGACGTCACTTATTTATGTGCAAATGTTTAATAACGAAGAACATTAAACATTACTGTTGGCCACATGTCGGCAAAGTCATGTGACATTAGTGACGTTTGTACTAACTTGGTTTTAAAGTCTTTACTTTAAAATATACGCCGTTCAATAGCTGATCTTAATCTTACAGAGAATGATCAAAGCTCATGTAGAAACAAACAAATGAACAAAAGATTTTCTCCTTCATTTCTGTCAAACAAAGCTGTATGACACGTTTCCAGCTGTTAGTATCATGGTTGCTGGGCAACCTGGGCAGTGCAACGGAGGCTAGACCGCCCATTTCACAAGCCTCGCACTTCCGGCCTTAGCAGTCTTTAAGTACGCGGCCCTTGTGGACCGTTGAGGCTGCGTGCTTTAAGGCTGCAGACCCTGAATTGGGATACAGCCAACATGTCCTGCAGTTCTGCAGAGGCCTGGTAACGAACTAATCATCACTAATCACTAATCAGGTGTGCTGACCCAAGGTGAGATCTAAAACCTGCAGGACACCGGCCCTCGAGGCCTGGAATTGCCGCTAGGGTGATATGAAGGCAGATAATCCAGACTTACCTTCATATGCAAAAACATATTTCTGAAAATGTTCAACTCTGTCTTTAAAGTACACGGTCTATACTGTTTAGGGAAGTAAAATTGTAGTTAGTATGCCAGACGTGCCTGGGTGTGATGTCACGAGAACATTACCAACAGATAGAAGCTCCGATTTGTGCCTAATTTAGCTCCTGAAACTGAAAGTGCTACAAACAGCGGGAACAACATCATAAATAAACCTAATAATATAATAAACCTTAAACATGTGGCCCACCACAGCAGGTAGTGCCACATGTTTAAGGTTTTTTATGCCATATTCCTTGAATCATAGCCCAAAGGGATTTGTGCCTTCTCCCAGGACTGATCCAAGTATCTTTTCCTTTTTAGGTCAATCTGTAAACTACTGACTGAAACGCCAAAACTCTTTGTTCTTAGCAGGCTAATGTTGTCTTTTTGATTCAGCCACAAAGTGTTGTTTTCTTCCTTCTATCTTCTAGAGCAGCAAATCAGGCATCATTCAGCTGCAGACTATCATGGCTGAGTGAGTCATGAAGAAGTGTTTGTATCTTTGGCAACCTTTCCATTTTTTGGGAACTGTGTGAACTCCTACTCAAGTTCATCCAGCAACCAAAGTGTTGCTGTGAAGATGGAAGATAAACACATGGTCATATGACTTTATTACCTCACAAGTTAGGAGATTAACTCTCACAAGAAGTCGTTTTTAGCTGAGTCCAAGCCAAACAAAGTGTTCTATGAAGCTCTGATTCCTGCGAGACATCATCAGGGTGGAGTCTCTATGGCTTTCATTCAGTGACGTTACATAAGTCTGGAGAGCTGCCAAGTCTCCGGCCCAGGCTTTTTCATTTTCTTTTGTTTTTGTGAGGAAAGAGCTTCTGCACACTCTAACCAGCCAGGCTCTGGAATTTCTGCCTAATTTAAACTCGTCACAACACAAACAGCACAACTTCAGCTCATATATAATACAAGAAATCATTAAAATGCTGTAGGTAGAGAAGTGCTGGTGGGGGGTACATCGCATAAAATGGTGCCGGATGACCCCACAGGTTGAAACTGTCAAAATAAAAGTCTTTCTTATGTCTGTAAATCTGTAACATATTGTATTGTTAAATATTTCTGTTACTATAGTGGAGCAACTGTAACCCACATAATGTCCTTAGGGATTAATAAAGTGCGCTGATTCTGATAAATGTTGCTTGGTATGCTTAAATGTGCATCTGGAGTGCGACACACAGAACTGCTGACAATTGTGTTAGTTCAGCAAGCAATAATAAAATGACCGACTTCAAGCCACTGATGCCAACTTTAACACAGCAGGCTCTATGCACGCCGCTGATGTGAACCACAGCTCAGGACTCCAGCTCCATCACACCAGCGCCGACTGGGCGGGGATGAGCAGTACCTGAGGATGTGGTGCAGACTTCTTTTTTTGCTGCATTGAGTCACAGCTCCGGTGGGATGGGCCACGTGACCAAACCCCGCACCGTTATGGAGGACAGACCTGGTCTGTGTCTGCGGTAACGACCTGCCACACCGAGCTCAGTCGGAAAACACGAGCCAGAGAAAGCGAGAACTTTTAACATCGCCATGTTCGTACATGTCCCTGCTCGGGGCAAGTCCGCGGGCGAGGTCCTGCACAACACGAGTGCCCTTGGAAATCCCAGGCAGGGTTTCAAAGCGCACACAGCCTCTCTGCACTGCAGCAAAGTGTCGCATACGCGTTTTGGCCAGAACTAGACCGAAGCGCGGAGTGCCACCGTCGGACAAATATCAGAGAGTTCCGCGTCTGACAGGCGCCTGCACCGAAAAGCAGCTGCGCAACTGCTATCAGAGCACCGCGGCTTGTACCGACAGAGGTGTTTGTAGAGGCTACGGGATAAGCTAACTCACCTGAGATTATCTTCTCTGACGATGCGTCTTTCTCGGTCATCGTGTCCCGCAGTTTCACCTCCTCTCGAGCCTTCTCTCCGATACAGCTACACCAAGCAATTTTCCTGGTTGCTGAGGCGCACCGGGCCAAAGTGGGGAAAAATCAAACAAAATGTGGTTTTCGTCACTAACGCGGTGCCCCCCCGAGCTTCGCTTTACCGCCTGTCGTTGTGTGCATAAGACCTGGAGATATTCGTGGACAGGGTTGAGGTTCGTGAGGGTCTAGAAGCAGGAGAGGTGCAGAAAAGCTTCAGCACAGAGGATGTTGGACCCCAGATTTGCTGCTGCTGCTCTGTCCGCCCCTCCCATCACATTCATGGCTGTCCTGACCAGGAATGCTGCCCCTGTCCGGTCTGAGGCAGCTTTGCTCGGTGCAGCCGCAAAAGATGCAGTACTACCCACTGTACCCCACTACCGCTGTACCCCCCACTACTGTACCAGCATTCAGACTAGTGTAACGAAAACCCCATGAAAAAATTACCAAACGAGTGAATACGTGAAAGACATTCAGGTTAGATTCATACAAGTCGATCGTTTCCCCCCTCCACTTTAATTACTTTAATTAAAAAACAAACAAACGTTTGCATGTTTGTTGTCATGGTCCCGAGTCTTCTGATTATTATTGTGTTTTGGGTTTTTCAGGAGGCCCGGGGTAGACCCAGGACCCGCTGGAGAGATTCTATCTCTCGGCTGGCCGGTGAACGCCTCAGTGTTCCCCGGACAGGCTGGAGGAGGTGGCTGGGGAGGTCTGGGCTTCTGTGCTTAGGCTGCTGCCCCCGCGACCCAGTCCGGATAAGATGGATGGATACTTCTGTTTAACTGTCTTTAGGTTTGGTTATTATTCTACATGTGTGTGATTCTCTTTGGTCCAGTTCACAAACACAATCTGCATACCCCATACAGATTGTGACAGTCTGTGTGAAGTGGTATACACGGCATTATAATACAGGTGAGAGGTAAGGAAGTGCAAATACGTCGTTACTGCAGGTACGTTATTTTCAGGTAGCTGTCTCTACTTGAGTATTTATTTTTCTGATGTTTTTCTAGATCCTAGATTTTAACAAAAGTATCTGTACTTTGTACTTTTTACATTTTCAAACCAGGCGTAATACTTTGGGTTTCAAACATTTGAAGAGAGCGCTGCTGCTGCCGGGTGTTAACGTGGGCCAGTGTTGTTTTTGGGGGGGCACGATACCGTTACAGTGCAGATGTCTAAAAGTTCTAGTCGCAGTACTTCAGCATCTAGCTAGCCCTACAGAAGAGAAGGAGGAGTAATGCTTCTTAAGTGGCAACATGTTGACTTGACATTTCTTGTTTCCAGTAGGGGGCGCTCTAAATTTTGCTGAGAGTGGGCATATCAGTGTGTTCAGGGCAGGACCGTCATCCTGTGGAGTTTGGACTAGATTTCTATGTGTTATAGAAATATGGCTCATCGTGGCAAAACATCAAAGCTCTCCATGCTGCCAGGGGTGTATCTTTTGTATGAAAGCTCACAGTTTACAGTGTAACACAAGTCCAACTTCTTAATGTTTTTCTGGACAAATTTGTGGTTGTTGGGGGCACGCACCTTCAAACTGTACCCCAACATGCAATACGTGACATTTCCTGCCCCCGCTACGTGGCGCTGTGGCCATTGTCAAATATTACAATTGAATTGTGTTCAGGAAGTTACAATGCGTGAGAAGTTTGATCGAGATTGGACAATGTATCTGTGAGAGGCGTCTTTGCCATGGCGCCCCATCGCAAAGACTCAATTCAGTACAGCCCAAGTTAATTTTTATTGATCAAAGTTTTAGTTTACCAGCAAACATGGCAGCTCTGAGAGCACCAGTGGCCTCTTTGAGCAGCAAACAAAAAACGCCTTCTGCATCTGTTTGCAGGATGATTGTTGTCAAAGTCAAGGCTGTGGAGAACAGGCTGGGGGATTATGGCTTCTCTCACATTCCTCTGTTCAGTGTACCTTGTTAGGACCCAATTTCTTGCTGAGGTCATTCAACACAACTTACTCTCTCTGCAAATCGGGACACAAATGTTTCTATACCATCCAGCCAGGCCTACAAAACCTCTCACCTTCCTCTCAGTGGTGGGAACAGGAAATGATTGGGTGGTGTCCACATATCCTTTATCCAAACGTCACCAGTTCTAGGATGAAAGTTAGAAATGGCATTTATTTACCAGAAATCAATACAAAAATCTTTCTGTTTGTCAGAACAGTGGGGATGCACCACTAGCTACTGGAAACTTTAGTCATTCCCAGTTCCAGCACTTTCTGCAGCACTGGCACCAAACTTTTCAGGTGAACTGGGGCATTCTCCTTAATCTGTATCTTGTACTGGAAGTGGTGCGTTTGAGTGACTCATGCATGAACAGAAGACTATAACTGATGGAAATTAACTTACATTTATTATTAAGATGACTATATGCATTTGTGTATAAACATTTACTGCACACTAACAATCACACTACGTTCTTGACTGCCCAATAATTCTAACGTTTTATTATTAAGCTACATGATCATAGCTGATTTATGTTTTGACTTTTAAGTTTTATTGGTTAAATGATTCACAGTTATGGTTTTAGACATGTCTTACAGATCCTTACTGCGCAGTATTTATTATATATTACCCGTATTTTAACCGCTTTTACATACTGTAACTACTAGTTGACCTGCTTATTTATGCTACCAAAGACAGTCTAATAAGGATTATAAGACACTACACACTGTGTCATTTGAGGAAAGTACTATGTCTTATTAGATTATGGATTTACAAGGAAATAAATTAATATGGTTACAGTGGGTGTGTTGTTTGTTTGTTTTATTTGTTGTGTTGTTGTGTTGTTTATTTACTGGGGGGGAAAGCGCCAAATACTCACCATCTGTTGTTTTGGTAAATGACTACAAAACTACAAACGGGTTGTAAAAAGGAAGGAAAGGAAAATAGTCAGCGAGAAGGAAGGATGTAGAGGTACAAAGAACAAGGACCAGATGGAAAAAGCACTTAGCAGGCTGGAATCCAAATAGTCCAACTTGTCATTAACGGTTCAGAACGAGCCAAAACAAAAAAGATCAGTTCTCCAATATGAAGGATCTGTCCTGGGATCTTAGTCATGGAGAAGGTTCATCAGACTCACACGTTGTACCTTAATGTTAATCCTTCAATGGAACGCCAGGAACTTAGCTGCAAATGGACAGGCGCTTCAGGGCATAGATGTGTTCATTAAATTTAAATCCAGATATCATGTGTACACAAGAAACATTGGTTTAAACCAAATCTAGATTTCTAGAGTTAGCTCTTGATGATAAAGATGTTGATTTTGATCAGCCAATTAATCAGTTAAACTTTAAAGTCTATCCCAAAGAAAAGAGGTAACAAAAAGGAAAAGTTAGTGTGTTACATTCTTGTGTGTTGGACACAAGAATGTAAAGCATAATTAAAGCCAGGAATAAAGCATTTAAAACACTGAAAATAATAATAATGTGTGTTAAAAATGTAAGGCTCTAAAAGGAAACGGGCAGAAGTTAGAAGAATAATTAAAATGGGAGTAAGAGGGAATATTGCATGAAATACTGTAACACTTTGGAGAGAGTCCAGACAACTAATAAATATATGTCTGTCTACGGGAAAGAGTATGGTTATCCAATAATGAAAGATAAATAGTTGATAACAAAAGTAAAGCCGAACTATTGGCAGGAACATTTGCAAAGTTCACAGCATAGAAAGTTTAAATAATGCAGAAACACAAAGGAAAGGAGGCCCTACAAGAAAAAGGTGAACATGAAGGACTGATAACTGTCATGTTTTCAATAGCAGAGTTACATAATGCTTTAAAGAAAGTAATACAGCTCCAGCACCAGATCTAATTAGTTACTGCATGATTGAAAACCTTGGTAAGTTTGGTAAGAGTAGAATAGTAAAATTATCTAACAAAATATGGGGTGAAAGTAAAAAAATCAGTGGGAAAAGGCTGTTGTTGTTCCATCTGTAAACCAGGAAAGGATCCAAGCTTAGCTGAGAGTTACAGGCCGATAACTTTAACATCTCATTTGGAGAAAATAATGGAAAAAATAGTGAATGAAAGATTATTTCTTAGAAACTAATGGTAAGATCAAATATTCTCATAGTGGTTTTAGGAAAGAAGAAGCAAGATGGATCCAGCTCTGTGTCTACAACATGTAGTAAGACGACCCAAGGAGAGAGTATCAGCTGTGTTTGTAGATACTGAGAAGACATATGATAGGATGTGAAAGAAAGACTCCTGGTCAAGCTGCATCAGATCGACAGGGAAAATGTAGAAATGGATCAGGAATGTTTGAACGAGTAGGAAAAGAGTTCAGTACAGGTTATGAGGTACAGAATGGTAATCCACAAGTATTGTTAGTCCAATAATATGTTCCATATTGATTAATGAGGTATTTAATAATATAATCAATGGGAGTTTCATTGTTTCCAGATGATGGAGTCATTTGGAAGAGAGGAAGAAATATAAGGTTCATCATGACTGAAGTACAGCAAGAACTACAAAAGAGGAGGATTGGGCTCTGGGATGGGGATTTATGTTCTCTGTTACAAACACAAAGTGGATTATTTTGATATAAAAGAGAGTAGATTAGCAGTTTAATCTCAAATTCTATGGAAATGAAACAGAAAAGGTTGATTTCTTTTATATTTAGGTATCTGGTGTAATAAAAGGCTTACATGGAAAACACATATTGGGGAAATAACTGAAAAAGGTTTTGAATATTTTAAGATATTTAAAAGGCAGCGAGTGGGGTGCAGAGTGGACAGCATTAAAGGCTTTATATAAAGGTCTCATTAGATCAGTTCTGGTTTGTGGTTCAGCAGCTAAAACATTGTTAAATAGCTTTAAATTAAAATTCTGTATCAGGCGCTGAGGCTGTGATGTGGGGCCATTCAAACTACACCAGTGTCCACACTGTGAGTTTAAAATGGGTAAACAACTGCTAGAAATCAGAAGACACCAAACTGCTTTAAATTACTTAGTAAAGTTAAAAGGACATAGCATATATAGCACAGAGTATAATTAAACCTAGTCAAGAAAAAGGAAGTGTACAGATAATCAGTTTTGGTTGGATTATAAGAGAAAAATGAATGAGAGACAAATTAGTAACAAAAATATTAGTCCAGCAGTACCATTCTCAGTTTTATTGCCATTGCTACAGTGGGGCAAAAAAGTATTTAGTCAGCCACCGATTGTGCAAGTTCCCCCACTTAAAATGATGACAGAGGTCAGTAATTTGCACCAGAGGTA